TCAAAGAAGGATTTACTTCCTTTTCATCCGTTTCTTCCCTCAAATCATTCATTTCTCGGGTTGAAGGTCTACTACAAGCAACTTTTTCTTTCACGGAAACATCCAATTCCGGTTTCTCTTCTTCCTTTAAAGCACCCAATTGCAGCGACTGTTCTTCGGCTGAAGCACCCAATTGCGGTTTTCTTTCTTTGACCATAACAACAAATTGAGATTTCTCTTCTTCCGCTGAAAAATCGAATCGGCTTTTTTTCGCAAAACACAGAACTGTGTCGATAAACTTCTTGTTGGTCCCTGTTTCACTGCAGGCATCCATCATGCTAAGTGGACCCATAATTTTAGGAGATGGTTTTTCCGGACTGCGAGATTTGCGGGCTTTATCGACGGATTCGAGCAATTCGTCGCTTAAACCATCAGAATCCGGCGGCATACCTCTTGTACGCAAAGACCGCTTAATAATTACTGGGTTGTCGCTTTTAGGTTTCTTCTCCGGACTTGATTTATACGATTTGGAAACTCTGCATTATACACACATATCAGATGGACAAAATCATGTTTCAAATGACAAAAAAATTGAAAGGTCAAGCCAAAAAAAAAAAAAACATGCAGCGGAACTATTTAGTACACATAGACGATATACATACACATATATATGTATAGATGGAGGAGAAAGTGAGACACCTTTTCCGATTGGTAGCGGCGGATAGTTCGGCTGCTTTGGAATGGATCCTGAGAGCGGCCATCATCTCGTCATTTCGCTTAATATTCTCGAGTCGCTTGCGCTCGTACTCCGTCAGTTTCTCAAGCGCCATTGAAGCAAAGCAGTCAAAGAGTGAGGGTTTCTTTTTTTAAGCTTTGGATTTTTGTGACATATATACATATATATATATATATATATATTCACAGGGTAGCCATTATGGTGGTTAAGTTTACAGTGGCTAATCTGGGCGGTTCGGCGGGAAATTTAGACTGGCGGGAAAATGGATTTTGGGAAATTACGTGGCATCATTTTGACCGTTAGATCCTCTCAGTTGAAGCCTATTAGTGAAGGACACGTGTCAATTCAATTATATAATTTTTTTTTTTGTGAAACTCAAGTTTACTACTGTATTTATTATGAAAAATAAAAAAAATAGTACAAAATTATGAAATTTATTTCACTAATTCAACATTAATTTCATAATTAACACCTCTAAATTTTTTTTTTTATAAAATTAATTACTTTAAACAAAATAATACCACAAAAAGAAAAATACATACATATATATATACAACTATTTTACAAAATTGTGCTTACAAGTAAACATGTTCTAACATACAATAGATTACCCATTACAGCAAAATTGTACAAACTATTATGGAATTTCAAGTTCAATGATCATCTTCTGCTCAACCCTAGTGAATCAACAAATCCACATACCAGAGAAGCATCTGAGTACAAAATTCCTCCATAACTAATAAATCAATTTCAACATTCTCACGCCATATTCAGAATCAAAACCCTACTGTCCACCAACCCTTTTCAGCAGGGTGCATATCTCTGAACATCTACTGCTGATTCTACTCTTGGGGGAAAGTTCTTTGAGTCAATTTGTATTACAACTGGAAAAACTTTTAGATTTTTTTGACCAACCATCCTACTTCAATGTCCACATATACACCTGGCCACCGTCTGTGGCTCCGGCTAGAGGCGGTGGCCAGGTAACATGGGGACTCTCCAATGTCATAACTGTTGTCCCTTGAGTTGGAGAGATTACATCAATTCCTCTGCTCATGTTGCCAGTGAAAACGTGTGAATCGTCCTAACCCCATATCCCACCGCCCTCGAAGAAAACAGAAATGAGTTAGAAAGAACATCCTTGGCTTGTTTGCATCTTACAAAATACTGTAAATCTACAAAAGAAAATGACAGAAGGAATGTTGATATACTGAACTCAATGCATCTTCCATTTTAGGATTATATCATTGCCTGCAAGAATGCATGTAAGACGGGTTGGCAAAAAAATAAACTAGTTGTAAGTCTACAGAGTTTAAAGTTTTGGCAGATCCCTTTATATCTGAGTTATGTTTTATCAAATTGGCAGACCTAAACCCAGTTTCAATTGAAAAGACTGATAATTCTAGCAATGATAGCTTGGTAGTATAAAACCATATATGATTATTCAAAACAGATATAGAACTAGTTCTCAACTCACTGGAAGTGACCAAAAATTAAACAATCCAGAGTATGGACTAGTATCAAATGTACCACAGAAAACAGGAATACATTCTGAAGAACAATCCATATCAAAGTACGTATATATTGGCACAATGCTTACTTAAAAGAAGAACTTCCCCGTCTGATTGCGATAATCTATCATAGAAGTATCACCATAATTGATGCCACTCAAAATACCAATCTTGTTGTCATAACTGCAGTAAGAAAATTTTATGAAACAATAAGTAAATATCTAAATCGTTAGGATCAAACCAAATTGGCTTATATTTTTGTCCCAACCGCATATGGAAAATGCTTTGCACCCAGAAGAAAGAATTATCATAAACAAAGATTATAGATGTAATGCCATAATATGAAGGAAGAACATCTTTTCAGTGCTCATTCTCTCCTTGGCTATCATTTAAAACATCCAGCTTTAGAACTCATTGCTCATCATGTTGTCAATATAAGGGAAAAAGCAGGACGAACACGCGGGAACTATAAACTGCAAATGCAGACAGAAAAAACTAAATCCAAACACTTGGCTGCAAAATGTAACAGCAGAAAAGCTAATTCCCTTTTTGCAAATTTCAGAAAAATAAGTGTTATACCAAAATAAATGCATACAACAATTCAAGATTCTGTCTCGGCTATCAAGCAATACACAGCACCTAAAGGAGTCAATACTTTTCAAATACCTATCTAATGAAGCTTTTTTTTCCCAGCAAGCAAAGCAAAGGCTCAGCAGCAGTAGATACCTTGCTGTTGCGAGGGAGCTTCCAGAAGGTGAGAAGTATGCCGAATGTTCAACTCTTTCATGATCCATTCTCCTCAATGTTTTGGGATTAACTGAATTCATCTTTCTCAAGTCCCAAATGCAAGCAGTCCCATTTGAGGAACTAGTAGCCATGATATATGGGTTCTGTGAGTTAAAATCTATAGTATTGATCCTGCCATCATGCAATTCCCAATTGGCCGAGGACTTTCCTGTTCTGAGATCCCAGATGTTCAAACTTCCCGGCCCCTCGCCAAAGTATAGACTCTTCACATCACTTGGTCGTTGAGAGAGAGAATATATAGTCTGCTCACTGACATGTACTAGCTCAAATATCTCCATCTCAGCATCCATTAACCGGATAAACCCATCATAGCAACCGGTGAATATCTGCTCGCAAATTAAACAAAAACAAAAAAGTAAAGTTTTGTTTTCATCAGATTAAGTTCTTTTTCTTTCTTAATTCTCATCAGATTTAAGTCCTTTTTCTCTTAAGTTTTGATCTACTCATAATCTAGACATTTGAAAGAAGTACCTTTGATAAGGAAGATTGTTGAATCAAAATCCCTGAAATAGGACCACCATTATCCTACCCAATAGCACCCGTGCTATATTCTGTGGTTTTAAACTTAAGGAACCCAAATCAAGGCAATTTCCAGATTTACTTCTCTTTTGATCCGTTTCTTCCCTCAAACCATTCATTTTCTCGGGTTTAAAGGGCCTTCTGCAAGCAAATTCTTCTTTCACGGAAACACCAAATCCCGGGTTCTCTTCTTCCATTAAAACACCCAATTCAGGCTTCTGTCCTTCGGCTGAGGCTCCCAATTGCGGTTTTCCTTCTTTAACCGTAACACCTAATTGGGATTTCTCTCCTTTCACTGAAAAATCGAATCGTGTTTTCTTCGCAAAATACAAAATTGCCTCGCAAAATACAAAACTGGGTCCCAGTTTCACTGCAGGCATCTACCATGCTAACGGATTCGTCGCTTAAACCATTAGAATTCAGCGGCATGCCTCTTGCACGCAAAGACCGCCTAACAATTACTGGTTTGTTGCTTTTTGGTTTCTTCGCTGGACTCGATTTATACGATTTGCAAACTCTGCATTACATACGCACGCACCAAATGGACAAACTCACGTTTCAACTTACAAAAAAAAAAAAAATTCAAAGGTTAAGCAAAAATAACATACAATTGAACTATTTAGCACACAGAGACGATATATATACACATAGATATACGTACAGATGGAGGAGAAAGCGAGAGACCTTTTCCGATCGGTAGCGGCGGATAGTTCAGCTGCTTTGGAATGGATCATGAGAGCGGTCATCATCTCGTCATTTCGCTTAATATTCTCGAGTCGCCTGCGCTCGTACTCTGTCAGTTTCTCAGGCGCCATTGAAGCAAGCAGTCAAAGAGTGAGGAACTTTGTGTTATATAAATATATACTTACAGGGTAGCCATTGCGGTGGTTTTGAGTTTACACAGTGGCTCACCTCGGTGGTTCGGCGGGAAATTTAGACTGGCGGGACAATGTATCCTGGGAAATTACGTGGCATAATCTTGACCGTCCGATTCTCGCAATTAAATCTAATTACTGAGAGACACGTGTCAATCCAATTTAAGAAAATCATATTAAATCATTTTCTGGGTTAAAAATAATCATTAATTTCATGATAACAACTCTGAAAAATATTTTTTATAAACTTAGTTATTTTAAACAAAATAATACCACAAAAAGAAATATATACATATATATATATGTATGTATGTATGTATGTATATAAATTGTGCACAATGAATATATATATATATATATATAATATATGTTCTTTACTTGTTCATTTCATTACATGTGATCTTGAATCTGAAAAGTAAGCTTAGCTAAACAAATGAATTATCCCAACCTGATCACTCTCTCCTCCTCTAATGAAGAGACAAAAATATAAAAGTACACAAAAGCCTAAAAAGAAATTCAACCATAAAAAATCTGGCTTCTTCTCCATGAATTCTTCTTCTTCTTCTTCTTCTTCTTGATACTTTCTTTTATCAAATCTTCTTTAACTATTCTGATTGATCAGACATTACAGAAGACACTGTACATATATGCCTTACACAGTGTAATGCTGTTGAATGGTTTCAATGTCAAGACCCTTGAGCTTCACCACTGACTCAACATGTCCCTTGAGAGTATGAAGCTCCCTCAGCCTGCAAAAAAAAAAAAGAGAAAAACAAAAATGAACCTCAACTTTGTTGGAGGATTTCTCTTTTATGGGAAATTCTACGGGTGCTTCGGAGTCATTATAAAATCGTTACAAGGCAATGATTGTTTCCGAGACACCGTAGGTAATCATTAAAAACTTGGAAATTTCAGTTTCCATACAGTTTTTTTTGGAGAGGGAGTTGCGGTGACTTGGTTGAGAAGCAATTTTGTTTACCATTAAATTCATTAGAAATATGAGTAGTTGAGTTAGAGGTGAATGAATTTAAAGGTAAGCAAATTGTAATGAGTCAAGCCTTAGGAATTGGGATAGTGAGTTAATGTTTTGCGTATGACCTGGCAACCTCAGCGCGTCTCTTGGCCTGCTCTGCGATCTCAGACAATTCGCGGTAGCTGTTCTTGTCGTTGAACAAGGCAGCCTCTGGTGGCTGTAGGCCATGGAGGGTACGTTGAGCCAATGCCCATTGAGCCTCCCTCTCTCCTTTGCCGTAGTCTTTCTTTGTGGTGAATGCAGTCTACAACATTGATTCAAATCAAAAGTATATGCAAGTTAATATGTATAGCTGGCATGCCAGTATTTCAAAAGGTAATGATCAAACATGAAAATCAACATGGGTCATTTGGTGGATATATTAAGTATGTGTTGTGCAGACACATACCTTGTTCTGGAGAAGGTTATCCCAGGCCTTGCCACTGAGCGCATAGCGGATGATGAATTTAAGGACATCAAGAGGGATGTAGGTAATGACACTGAAAACCCAGATCACTCCAGCCCATCCCCATCCACAGCCCTTGATTCTGGCAAATCCCCAGTTTGCGTATACAGCAATAATTGTAGCCAGCTTACATGGACAATAACAGAGGAGAGTCAGGACAAGATGACATAAAAGTTACTAAGAATGTAGTTGAATCTTAGGAGGATATACTGACCAACTGTGCAATGAGGAAGGCAATCATGAGCAAGAAACCAGGGCGCTCGACGTAAGACCAGCTCCTTGACCTGGTGACAAAGATGAGTGCTTGACTGATGATGCTCACTTGAAGATAGAGAGCTGCCATGAGCTCTTCTTCTGACTCTCTGATTGACCTCACACCGAATTTTTCCTGCAAATCTTGAAACCATTAGTACCTTTTTCTTGCTTTAACATTTCAACATGCTATCATTGTATACAAGCATTTCTTATCATTTCAAAGTCTTGAGATAATTAGTTACAATTTGAATCATAAAAAGGAACCAGCAAAGGGATAATGGGTTTATACTTATTCCACATGTTTAGTTTAAGTTTTGTGGGTAAGTGACTACGACATATTATTATACTTACACTGAAGAAGTCTGTGTCATGAGCCAGCCAGAAGAAGAGGACGGTCACTAGGGCCATGTAGGTTCCAAGAACAACACCGGTCGCGAAGATCTCCTTGAGCTTCCATGAGTCAGGCACTGGAGATGGCTTGACCCTGTCCTTGGAGATGGTCATGATGGTTCCGTCATTGAGGATGGCAATGATCAAGACCATGAATGGTGCAAAATCAAACTTCCAGATAAGAGCCACAAGCATGAATCCCAACACAATACGTATTGTGATAGAAACAGCATAGATGGTGTAGTTCTTCATCCTCTGGAAGATTGCCCTGCTTGTCAGCACAGCGCTCACGATCACGCTAAGTCCTGGCTCGGTCAAGACAATATCTGAAGCACCCCTGGCGGCATCAGTTGCATCAGCCACTGCAATACCAATATCTGCCTTTTTGAGGGCTGGAGCATCGTTGACACCATCACCAGTCATACCACAGATATGTTTTCTATCTTGGAGCCTCTTGACAATCTCATACTTGTGCTCTGCACAAACCAAATTTTTGCATAAAATACTAATAACCCACCTAATAATAACTGTTGAAGAAGCCATAAATATGATGTTAGATTACCAGGGAACACTCCTGCAAACCCGTCCGCCTTCTCAATAAGCTCATCAACTGGAAGGCCAGCAATGGACTCATCCTTGCTTTCTCCCAAAAGAGAAGATGAAGGATACATGTTGGTGCCCATGCCAAGTCTGCGACCGGTTTCTTTGCCAATGGCAAGCTGATCACCAGTGATCATCTTAACATTGACACCAAGGTCAAGTGCCCTCTTGATTGTCTCAGCACTGTCATGCCTTGGTGGATCAAAAAGGGGCAAAAGACCTACAAACTCCCATGGTGATCCTGAGCTTTCCTTGGTCTTCTCTGGGATTGTCTGCGGATAAATTTAATATAATCTTTACTCTTGAGAAAGAAGAAATGAGAAGAAAATCTTCAAGAATAGACAAAATTACTAATCACCTGCTGAGCAACACCAAGGGAGCGAAGTCCTCGTTGAGCATAATTATCAATGACTTCATGTGCTTTCTTCCTCGTTTCTCCCTTAAGCTCACAAAGATCTATGATCTGGTACACCCATAGTTTTATTATTAATTTAAAAACAAACCACCATTATAACTAGCTTAGACAGGATGTTTTCTAATAAGATAAAAATTACAACATCCATATCTAATTTATGTTACCTGCTCAGGAGCACCCTTGCTGCACCTATGCCAATCACCCTTGTTGTCAATGTAAGTAATAGCAGTGCGTTTATCCACAGGGTTGAAGGGCAAGAAATGTTGCTCAGAGATTCCAGCTCTTGCCTGTTTGGTTCCAAAGAAAAATATAACTTCAGTAAACATAATAAGGTGTAGAATGTAGAGAAACTAATGGACTTCCATAGATTTAAGAAAAAATCACCTCCTTGGGGTCACTCAACATGCCAACGATTGAAGCATCAATGGCATCTTGGTTTTCAGTTCTGGAAGCTCTGGCAGCAATCAAAACAACTGTGTCCTTATCAATGCCCTTTGGAAATACCTGTGAATGCCAACATATTTATGGTAAGCTAGAAGACCAGAGATCATAAAACCAGAAAGAAATTTTCTTGTCATGATTAACAAACCTCAATCAAGCTCTTGTCAACTGTAAGCTTATTAAGGGTGAGAGTCCCTGTCTTGTCACTGCATAGAACATCCATCCCAGCCATTTCTTCAATGGCAGTCATTCTCTTGGTGATGGCACCTTGCTCCGAAAGGCGGTGAGACCCAATAGCCATTGTAACTGACAAGACTGTAGGCATGGCAATTGGGATACCTCCAATGAGAAGCACCAACAGATTGTCAATTCCATCTCTGTATTTCCTCTGCTGGATCGGATACATGATTACGATTTCAATGAGCATTCCAATACCAATGGAGCAAATACAGAAGTTACCAATGGCTGTCAGCACCTGAAAATTCAATCCAATGTAAACCAATCACTCATTATTCACGGATTCTCCAAACCCATGAAGGATTTAATCTAAGCATGAAAGAAAATCCAAATGGTACCTTTTGAAAGTGACCAACATTGTTGGTGCTATCAACCAAGTGAGCTGCCTTGCCAAAGAAGGTATGAACACCAGTAGCAATGACAACAGCCTCAATCTCGCCTTGCTTACAGGTTGAGCCGGAGAAAACCTCATCACCCGGCTCCTTGGTTACCGGAAGGGATTCACCAGTGAGCGCAGATTGATCAATCTTGAGAGGATCTCCTTCCAAGAGACGTGCATCTGCTGGTACAATATCTCCCAATTTAATACTAATAACATCTCCTGGCACCAAGATTGCTGCCTCTTGTTCACTCCATTTCCCATCCCTCAGTACCTATTAATACGAAAAATCATTATCAATGTCAGGTTGAGAAGAAAGAATCATTAACAAGAACACTTGGCGTGCATGAAATTATTATAGACCCACCTTGGTTTTTGGGGCAAGACCAGCCATCAGAGCAGCAGCAGCGTTGCCTGCATTGTTCTCCTCAATAAAACTAATCGTTGAGTTGATGATGAGCAACACAGTGATACCAACAAAGTCTTGCCAATCCGGCGGCTTGCCTCCTCCATTGGCCAAAACAATGGCCATGATTGCCGCAGATTCCATGACCCATGACAGAGGATTCCACATAAATCCCAGAAACTTTAGCACTTTATTCTCTTTCTTTTCCTCAAGCTTATTGGGTCCAAATATCTGCAGCCTCTTTTCTCCTTCGGCGCTTGTCAGTCCTTCTCTTGTACATTTCAGCTGCTCAAACACTTCGTCCACAGGAATCCTCTCCTGCAAAATCAACACAGATTTAAAATTGAACAACAAACCCATTAAAAAATTTAAAAAAAAAAAAAAAACATACACCACCCGTATTCAAAAAATTGCTTACAAGATCAACATTCTCGTTCTTTATCTCTTCCAACGAAATATCAGACGCCATGTCGGAAGACAAGATCGAAGAATATCAACACCGAGTCTCCAAGAGAGAAAGAAATAAAAATATTCGGCGATGTAAGACAACGAAAGAACTCCCTCCCTTGGCGACGCTGCCTTCTTTTTTCAAATTTCTTCAGGCCTTATTTCTCAATAGGCCTGGCCTTTAGAGACTGACATTAGAATGAACTTTTCTTTCTGAAGAAGACAGCAAGTTGGGGATTGAAAGATCCCTGCCTTTATAATACTTGCTCTGTGGCTGCGAGAAACAGATGGAGAGAAAGTAGTGAAGCCTCGCAAATGGCGGGTTCATGTGTTATGGGTTAAATTTTCCTCGCGGTTAGCCTGGTTTGCCGCTGTCCTGGTGAGCTTGTTTACAGCAAACATTTGTTCCTTTTTTTTTCTTTTTTACTAATTTGTGAAATTAAATACTGAAAAATTACAGATTATAATGGTTTTTTCATGTACACCAGATTGTAAACGTTGTGTGTTTATATATACATATATGTATGTATGTATATATATATATATATATACGTGCGTGTTTGTACGTTTCACGCATGCATGCAGACTGTGACGAGATATGAGTCATCGTTTTGTTTTTCTTTTTCTCTTTCTTTGTTTGTGAGTCCATTAGTTTCCTGCATATTTATTAAATATATATTACATATCAAGTATATGTATATATTACGTATAATCATCTTATGTATATATAATAATAATAATAATAATAATAATAATAATATATCTGGGTTTTAAAAAAGCCTATTAATGATGTAATAAAATAATTAATATATAAATAATATACTGGATTATTAAATATATTTCATGTGTTCTGTATAAATTTTTTACATAAACAAATAATTATATGTACCATAAATTTACAAGGTCTAATTAAATAATACCATATATTTGTTTATAATATAATATTATATATATATACATGTATGAAATTAAATTTTAATCTCAAATTATAATATCAAACGAAATATATAAATTTGATGCCTAATTAAATTCTCTAAAATTTTAAGTTCACAAATATCATTTTTTTTTTAATTTAATTTTTATTAACACGATATAAAAAATGAAATTATAAAACAATATGACTAGAAATCTCGATATTAAAAATATGTATTCGTTTTATATATATTTCGAGATTCCACCGACCAATACTTTATTAATTACGAATTTTTACGTAATTTATTAAAAACGAGTTGAAACAGATTATCGAGTAATTTCTATCCTCTTTAATAATGTTTCTAAGCTCTTTACAAAGGTACTGTAAATAATAATTTTTATGAGACAATGAAAAATCTAATTCGCCAAATAATTAATATACCGATTGGTATAATAATAATAATAATAATCATAATTAATTTATATTTACATTATAATTTATTTTGTTAGTCTTAAACCATGTACGAAAACTAATTAAAGAAAAACAAAATACAATTATAAACAAATAGACTAACAGTACCGTGTTTGGATATACATTATTTAAAAGCAAAATAATTACGGATACCCGCAAGTTTTTCTGTGAGAACACAAACAGCCCTTTACTCAGACACTCGTCTTTTCCTCGCTCGCCTACCTTCTTCTCTCTCCCTCTTCACTTCGTCGTTCTTCAATTCTCAAAATCACTCCATATTTCTTCGTCATTACGAGAAATCAGAACGATAAATCGTCTCGCTAACTGTTTTCTCGATTTTTACGTGTTTAAATTCAATAAATAGAGTGAGGAACCGGAAAAATTGAAGGTTCTTTAGGGTTCTAGGTTTTGGAATTTTGATGATTCCAGGACTAGGTCACCGAATCGAGCGGGTGCGATCGCTTTCGTCCAGGAGATTTTTCTTTTTGGTACGAAATGCCTCGCGCATCGAAAGAGAAAGACGGCCGCACCGAACTCATCATCCGTCCAATCCGACGGTGGTCGTCCCGGTACTTACTGCCTTCGTTTCCTTTTTTTCTTTCACCTTTTATGCTTCTTTCCGTTTGAATGCCTCGTCGTTTCCAACCCTGTTTGGTTCGCCGGAAAGCGCGGGAAAATTGTAAAGAAAATGGAGAATGAATTGGAAGAACGGGAATCATTACCGGATTCTGTCAACATTCCACTGATTTTATATAATTTAATTTGATTTTCATTTTTCTTTGTCACGCAAAACAATATGACTATTCTGTTTGGTTGCCCGGAAACGGCGAGAAAACATGTACCGGAAACGGCGAGAGACGCTTAAATGAGAAGCAGAACGTGCGAGTAGCCTACAGCTGTTAGTTTCTGAGAGACTGACATCGTAAATACGTAATAATTAAAATTTAACTAATTTAAGTAAAATTAATTTTTTTTAAAATATTTGATATATAATTTTTTACACCCATGTAGTAACAATTATAATTAATTTTTATAAAAAAAATAATAAATTATTAAACTTTATAATATAAATAATATGTTACGTCTAAATATTTAGTGTACATATACGTTATATATGTAGATTCATAATTTAAAGTGTAAAATACGATAATATTATGCTCAAATAATTACAAATATATCAAAAATTAAATATTTATTCCGAATTTTATTTTATACAAATAAACTTTAATTTCAAAATTAAATAAAATTTGAATTATTAAATTAGTCCATAAAATTTAGTAATTATGACGATTTGATTTCGAATTTTTTTAATTATAATTTAAGTCTTAATTTTTTAAAAAAATTAAAATAAATTTTAATATTTTAAATATAGTTTAATAATATTATTAATTTAATAATATAAATAATTAATAATTCAATATACAGGAGCCGACTGTCCCCACCACACCTCCTTGCCAACACTATAAAATCTCGACAGACACTCCTCTTTTCCTCACTCTCCTGCCTCCCCCCCTGTCTCTCTCTCTCTCTCTCTCTCTCTCTGTCCTCCTCTTCGCTTCGTCGTTCTTGAATTCTGAAAATCGCTCCGTATTTCTTATTCATTGCAAGAAATCAGAACAATAAATCGTCTTGCTAATCGTGTTCTTGATTTTTTACGTGTTTGAATTCAACAAATAGTGAAAGGAAACGGAAAAACTGAAAGGTCTCTAGGGTTTTGCGTTTTGGAATTTGGATGATTCCAGGACTCCGTCACCAAATCGGGCGGCTGTGATTATTTTCGTCCAGGAGATTTTTCTTTTTGGTACGAAATGCCTCGCGCATCAAAGAGAAAGACGGCCCCACCGAACTCATCATCCGTCCAATCCGACGGTGGTCGTCCTGGTACTTACTGCCTTCATTTCTTTTTCTCATTCACCTTTTCGTTTTTCTTTCTGTTTGAATGCTTTGTCGTTTCGTCCCTGTTTGGTTTGCCGGAAAGCGCGGGAAAATTATAAAGAAAATGGAGAATGAATGGGAGGAATGGGAATCATTACCGGATTATATCAACATTCCGCTGATTTTGTCTATTTAATTTGATTTTCTTTTTTTTTTTTGTCACTCAAAACCATATGATTGTTCTGATTGGTTGTCCGGAAATGGCGGGAAAAGGTATACTGGAAAATGGAGACGCTTAAATGAGAAGCAGAATGTGCGAGTAGCTTACAGCTGTTAGTTTCTAGAGACTGAGGGAAAGAAGTTGGAAGAGTATTGGGAGTAGATGAAGTTTGTGAAGTTTCTTGGGGGAGATGGATTCGTATCCAAATAAAGATTTTTATTCTCAAAGGTTTCTCTCGTGTTTACTTTTCCTCTGTAATTGAACAGGATAAAGAAACTGCCTCGTTGAGGTTTAATCTTTCTTTGCTTTGGGATTTGATTTCATTAGGATAGTTTATTAACAAACGAAATGTTTACACAGTAGATTCATTGTTGAGAGCTGGTCCACCTTGGAGGCTCTTCTGTTATCCATAGATTCTGGTGTTTTGACAGTGTGCTCTACAAATGGAATAAACTTGGAGCTTAAGAAAAGGATAAAGGTGGAGGGATGGAATGGAACTACCATCCCAAAAGCTGTGCCTATTTTGGTTGCTAAAACTAATAGATGCACTTATGCATTATAAGTTTAGTGGTGTATCTTTTATTGTTATTAGAAGAAAAAAAGAGTTATGAGTACAATAGAATCTACTAATAATACTAATAGAAACTGGATACTATTATCCGTAGTACAAACTAATTTCTTATCATGCAACACTGTTCTTGTTACCATAATTTATTTGCTTATCAGTAGAGCTATTTAGTACTGCAACTTTTATTCGGTTAAAAAAGATGAAGTTCAAAGGTAGAACCAGAAAATTTATGAGGAAGGGCCGGTATTTAATTTTGTTGTTAAAGAGAAAGGATGGAGCACCAGGGTGTAGCCTCCATGGTACGGTAAATCTTAATTGTATCTTTAGTTATTAGTAAATCAAAGTTTCTCATACCATATAAATGCAATATATTCTCTAATATGCCACAAAGAAAAAAATAATAAATATCGGATGCTAAAAGTCTAAAAATAAAAAAGTTAATAAGATACTAATAAGAATATTAAAAAAGTAAATGTTTGCTAATTAATATGTTGTCCTTGAATTTTAGTAAACTTTTAATAAGGGTCTCTATGTACATATTTTGCCAATTACTTCTGGTATAAGGACCAAAAGTTGCAATGTAAATTTGTTTGCAGTGTTGTATGAGGACAAAAGTAATGTTGATAATTTCTAAACTCCCATTAGCTTTGTTAGCCGTTCATGGCCTTAATCTTGGTAAGTTACAATCTTAAGTGCCTGCACTTGGCAAGATGTTCTTTAAGATGGTCAATAACTAGCTATGTGGTGATACAATTGGGAGCTTTTGATGAATTGTTAGATTGTATGAACTTAGAAAGCCAATTATAATGACCAATGTGAGGGCATGTATTTATTGGTTAGCATGTGAGTTGTTGGCACTTGGAATCATGCTGGTAGTTTTCTTTCCCTCTTGATGGAGAGGCGCGTATTCTGATGTATTTTTAAACTGGTGGTATGCCATTGGGCAGAATATAGCATTTAAGGTGCCAGATTCTGTTCTTGATTTGAGCTTGTATAATATATGGGCAATTTCTTGTAAATATTCCACTTAATTTCCTAATCATGTAATTTGTTTCTTCAGCAGCAGGTAAAGCTAAAACGAGGGGCAAGGACAAAATAGATAAACTCTTTGATTCATATGCCAATAGTTCATTAGGCGTGATTGAGTAAGTACTACGTTCATAGGTTTTCTTTTTTTTTTTTTTTTTTTTCTGAAGTATACTACATTCATATCTTTCATGTTTTATCACTTGAACTTTTCCAGTTATACCTATTATAAGCATTAATTTTGTAATGATAATTATAGCTTCTTATTGCAATGGTAGCTTAATGCTGTTTATCTATGTTCTATGCATAAACACCTGTTTGCAACATTGGTGGTAGGAATAGGATGTATGAAAATTGAGATGTTCAATGTTACTTGGAAGAGATAAATGAAGGTGAGAGGCTGGTGTTCCATAGCATCAACATGACAAATTGTTCGAAATGATGAAAAACAGGAAGTAGAAATATTTGGATAATGTGATATTGTGGTGGATCATTTACCATAGCCTTGAGAAATCAAGATTTAGAAGGGTTATCTCACATTTCATCGCTTTGGAATCTTTCAGCATTTGGCTCCAACATAATGCTAGTATGGTTGTTGAACCTCATCTTGACATTTTTCTCTCTCTTTTGTCTTCACGTGGCTGCTTTTATTTATTTTTTAAAAAATTTTGGTGAGAACAGCGTTGGTGTATATGATTACTTAACATAGAGTGGCCTTAGCATCTCAAAGCAAATCTGTTAATATTGTTATTTAAAGTACACAATATCTTTTTGGGAAGTTTTTTTGGTTTTCAATTTCTCTCCAGCCCCTGTTTGTATTGAGCTAAATCATAATAAACATCATGTTAACAAGGAGAAAGATGTAGGATGTTCTTATGAGTTTACATGACTAGAATTCTGTCTATTAGTTTCTTCAATATCTTTCGTCTATGCTTCTTGTGTCTTTTTTCTTTTACATTTTTTATTAACCGTGTATTATTAGTATTATACATTACTCTTATGTTTGCTTTGGTAGCCCTGAAGGAATTGAGAAGCTCTGTTCAGATCTTGGAGTTGACCATACTAATATTAGGATACTGATGTTTGCATGGTATGTTATTATACCTTAACTGGATATTTCTGGATCCATCCTTTGAATAATTTCCTCCTGACCTTCTCTTATAAAGGCGATGTTTTCTTGACTCAGGAAAGTAGGAGCTGCAAAGCAGGGCTATTTTACCCTGGTAAGCTAACAAGTTTTTGTATGACCTTTTTTAATTCTATTATTACTGCCATTCCCAGTGTCTAACAGTTTCCTTGCAGTCAAGCATCACGGTAGAAAAGATTTAATTAAAATTAGCCCTGTGATATCTTTTGGAATCTATGTTCTTTTTTTACCTCAACAATGGGAATGTGTTTGATTGACATGCATGCATGATTTACTTTAATAAGCTGAGGATGGGATGAGTGCACTTCTTTATAATAACTAATTCTGGCATGCATGATACTGAAATTTGCTGGTTTGGAGTCGCCATTTATACACATATTCAATAAAAACTTATAAATCAATAAAATCAAATTATTGATTCTCTAGGACTCAACATATACATGTTTCTTTCGCTTTCAAGATTTCTAGATTTATTATTCTATTTGCAGTGTTCTTGAAAACACTTATGTCCTTAATGTACCATGATCAAGGGTTTTCCTTTTCATCAGGATGAATGGAGAACAGGTCTCAAAGCTTTACGGACTGATACTATTCCCAAATTGAAGAAAGCACTTCCAGAGCTGGAGAAAGAGGTAAGTAGTTCTATAGACCAGCTATTTGAAGTATCTTGGATTTGTTATTTAAATTGCCTTTTTTAGCCGTAAGGGCTATTGAAAGGCTTGAACTCTCGGCCATGTTGTTGTAACCCAAAAGGGAAACTATCAACTGATCAGTTGATAAAGGTAGATGCTCTTTAATATTTATTGTCTTGGTTATGTGGGTATTGACGGTGTTTTTTTTTTATCTGAGAAGGTGAACACACCAGCAAAATTTATGGATTTCTATTCCTTTTCATTTCGATACTGCCTAACTGGTAAGCTTACTACTGCCAAGTTGGTGTTTTGGTAAATGCGTTATTTTCCTTTAAGATCTCTCGTTATAAATAACTAGATGATATTATGCTCTGATATTGATTTAATGTTGCAGAAGAGAAGCAAAAGAGCGTAGACATTGAAACCATCTGCGAATTGCTGAATCTTGTACTAGGGTCCCAATACCGTCAACAGGTTGACTCATTGATTGAGTATTTAAAGGTATATAGCCATTTGCAACACACGGCTCTTTTGTGGATCATACTGTTTAGGAAAAATACCAATACAATTAAGTTGTTCCAACAAATATTTCATGTTGTATTCTTTACTCCATAGCAGATCCAAAATGACTACAAGGGGATAAACTTGGATCAGTGGACGAATTTTTTTCGGTTTTTCAATGAGGTAAACTAACTGTTATTGTCATCATCCCTACCCTAAGAAATTTCCAAACGTATTTCACTTGACTCCTAATTATAGATTCTATCTATGAGGCTAATTGATGGTATGTCTAGTTAGCTCAAATCTTTAGGATTGGAGTACATTTATAATTTGTTCAAGTTCTCTAATCCTCTTTGTTTACAGATCCATTTTCCCAATCTCCAAAACTATGATGCAGCGGAAGCTTGGCCCTTGATCCTCGACAATTTTGTTGAGTGGATGAAAGAAAAGGAAGGCTAGTTCAGCATCTTTTGAATGTGCTGATTCTGATTATCAGAGGTGGCCCTAGCTCTCCCCGCCTTATTTCAGACATTATTAGAAGTGGGTGATTCCAAATGTCTTTAGTTGGGCTATCTATCTGCTTTCAGGAGATTACAGCAAAATGTGACCGTGAAACTCATTACATCCATTATACCAAATACATTTTCAGAGGCTTTTCTCATGTCAGGAAGTTCATGTCTCACTGAATACAATTCTTTTTCTTTTTTTTTTTTTTTTTCTTTACCGTCGTTGCAATGTCCATTTTTCTTCCCCGTGTGAATGTTATTAGATTAAGTGGTATCTCAATGCGGAATAGGGGTTATTGGAGCACGACGAACAATGCTTATCCTTCTGGGCAAGCACTCGTCTGCACTTCTCTTGCAGTTCTTCAATTCGGTGGGGAGATCATAAACTCAGCCCGAATGTGGAGTGGTTTTCAGGTTTGAATCGATTATTATATCAGGAGAATCGATATTCTGTGGCTGATAGGGATTTGAAAAATAATGCAGTGAAAATTCAATGGATCACAAAGTGCGTGGGAGATTTAATGGTGTGCTTCATACACAACAACATAGTAGAAACCCAAAAGTGAGTATGGTTCGCATGGAATTTATTTCTTGTTCTGAGTGCAAGATTTTTGATTAATTTATTTAATCAAGTCAAAAAATATTTCAGAAGTAAAAATATATTACAATCGCTAGTACCACATTTTACAGTCATTATCAACTACTATAATTCATAGTGGACCGACCCATCTGCATCTCCTCCGCATTGGAGGAAATCTTCCATGAAACACCTAATTGTCCCATGCTCGAGAAGCTGTAAAATTTCAACAACAAACAATCAATTAATATTACTTTAATCTTGGGGTTAATAACTTTCACATATTGTTAAAAATTACCTTGGGCTGAGATTTTCCACTCGCTATCGAAACTTAGAGCCCAAAAGAAGGCCAAAATATCTTTATACATACATACATATATTATGATTATTACAATTAATTTATAATTAAGTACTTTATTAATTGTTTTATTATTATTACAATCAAAAAATTTTGATGGATTTTCATTCAAATTATTTTCTAAAGCATTAAATTTATTTAAACTACTTTATATTTTTCTATTAGAAAATTGAAAGAAAAAAAAAGTTAGGGTTTTATAAAAAGTAATAGGGAACAAATTATAATAAAAAATATTAAGAATTAAATTATAATAAATGTTAAATTTTAAAAACTAGTTTAGTAATTAATGAATTCTGAAAAAATATTAAGATGCAATTTTTTTATTTTTTATTTTTTTCAATTTGATCTAAGCTAGAAGATTACACAAGCACAATAGTTCCAACACATGGTAGCATTAGATTAGCCATGAATTATATATCTCTTTGTATTTTATATATATATATATATATATATATATGTGGAGGCACCATGCTGTCTATAATAAAAGAATTTTCAACTATTTTTATATCAATTATATTATCACTATCACTATCACTAAAAGCTTTCATTCAAGCCAAAAAAAATTCTGTAATGATTCATTTCTTTGAACCATTTGGTCTTTCATTCTGGAAAACAGTAAGCAAAACCTCCAATTAAATCCAATACCCATCACAAAAATCATCCAAGAGGGTATCTGAGAGAGTACCGATGTTAACATAATTTTTATGAGAATATATGTAATACCTGGGTTCAAAAATTAGTTCGGGATGAATTTTTTTTATATTTTTTATTTATAAAAAAATTAATTTAATTTCTTATAATTTAATTTTATTAAATTTTTGAAAAAATAAATAAATTATAAACGAAACTGAAAATAATTTTTAAAAAAATAGGTGAAATTATGAATTTGTTAGTTATTTTTTAAAAAAAAAATTGAAACGGTGGGTTAAAATATAAAAAGAAAAAGTTTAGCCACGTGGGACGACCCGATCAACATCCCCAACGAATCAGAGCACGTCGTGTGGCAACCTCACTGACATCGGTACCATGTGGGAAGCCATGCGAGCGATCCGTGCGTCTGGCGATCCGACGGTCCAAATCACATCTCGCATGCGT